AGTATTTGCTTCTATTCCCTCTGTTTTTTGTTAGTTTAGTTTTTTTTTGGGGGGGGGGGGGGGAATGTACACTCAGGAATATATAATAATTTAAACAACCAAACGGCACATTCTACAAGCCCACCTCCTAGCCACCAATACTCAGTCTTTCTCTTTCCATGAATTTAGAATCCTCAGCTGCTCTCTCTCTCTATGTCCTCATATCTGCCTCCATCTCTGGTGTCAGTGCTTCTCTGAATAGGGTCCCACATTCCACTCATGCTCTTCTCCACTGATGGTCCTAGGGTTCTCTGTTCCTGGACTATAAGATTGAATATACCCCCCTTTTGTTACAGAATTCCCACTTTAGAGTGGTGACAGTTGCAATTAGTCATGATAACAATTACTCATTGTTGAATCATAATAATCTTATGTCCATTTCTTTTCACCAGACCCATCTAGACAAGATGAAAACTATTTAGTGGTGATTCTACCCTGCCCCACACACTCTTAAACTTAACTCCTACTTGAAAGGCAGTCACTTTGTGCCTTTAACATCAAAGATGCCACTTTGAGGAGTAAGGTGCACATGATCCCAAACCATGGTACTTTCAATCACCTCATGTGCATGTGAAAGTTTACAATGAATAAGGAAGACCATAGGAGAATTGATATATTTGAGTTATGGTGTTGCAGAAGAATAGTAAAAGTACCATGGACTGTCAGAATACAAACAAATATGTGTTGAAAAAAGTACAGCCAGAATGCTCCTTAGAAGCCAGGATGGCAAGACTTCATTTCTCTTACTTTGGGCATGTTGTCAGGAGGAACCAGTCTCTGGAGAAGGATATCACACTTGGTAAAGCATAGAGTTAGCGAAAAAGAAGAAGACCTCCAACAAGATGGACTGACACAATGATAGCAACAATGAGCTCAAACATCACAATAATTTTAAGGATGGTGCAGGACTGGGCAGTGCTTCATTCTGTTGTGCATATGGTCATTGTGAGTAAGAGCAGACTCTATGGCACCTAAGAACAACAAGACAGTTTGACTCATAAGCTATCATGGATTGAATTGTGTCCACCCAAAATATGTGTCTACTTGGCTGGACAATAATTCTTAGTGGTTTGACATTATGTAATGATGTAATGTGGCAGTTATATGATGATCCCTTTTGATGTGATTTGATGTGGTAAACCCGTCAATTGTTAGAGGATTAAGGGTAGAATATAATACCTTTGGAGTCCTGTTGTGGCACTGATGGATAAGCAATGGACTTGTAACTGCACGGTTGGCAGTTTAAATCCACCAACTGCTCCTCAGAAACTCTATAAAGAGGGGCTATGAGTCAGAACCAACTAGATGGCACTTAACAATAACAACCTAATATTCTTAATCCTGTCATAGCCCTGATCTGATGTAAGGAGAGGTTCACTTTTTTTATCTTACAAGTGATAAAAAGAGAGAGAAGCTAGCAGGGGAAGGGACCCACTACCTCCAATATAGAAGAGCTGAGAGTGAAGGGCATATTTTGAACCCAGATTTCTGCAGCTAGAAACTCCTAGAATCCAGGGAAGATTCATGCCAAGACACATGGGATTTCCAAGGAAACATTAGACCTACAGATGATGAAAGTAGACAAGGACTTTCCTCAAACTGTGAAAGCCTTCCCCTAGAACAGGTGAATTCAGAGTTCTAGCCTCCTAAACTGTGAAAGAATATTTTTCAAAATGTCCCACTTATAGTATTCCTGTTAGAGCAACTCTAGAGAACTAAGCCACAGAATCTATGAATACTTCTTGCCCCTTAATCCTTCAAAGCCCTTTCTTTGTAATTTAGAGTTTTAATCTCTATATGAAACATTACTCTGAATCTTTTCCTAGTAGGTAGGATAAGCACTGACCTTGCAGTTCAGTACTATAGGATAAGCACTGAACTGCATGGTCAGTTGGAACCACAAGGTCGGCAGTTCAAACTCACAAGCCATTAGTTGGAAACCCTATATGGATGTCACTTTGAGTTGGAATTGACTCAACAGCACATAACAACAACAATAACAATTCATTACATGGCGGGGGTGGTAGTTATATGCTGTGGAGCATTACTTAGCAGTGTCAATATTTTTTAAACACTTTTATTAAGGTTTATAAAGGCAGGCCTGTAAAGAATGGGATAAATGCTATTGCTGAGCAAAGGTAATACTGGTTTATTTTGGTTCATCTCCCTACATTTCCACCCCAGATACATTGAATCAAAATCTACACTTCAACAAGAAATGAACCAGTTCAAAGCCCTGGTTTTAACTAGTCTTAAGGAAGACAAAAGAAGAACAGATGCATTTGAATTATGGTATTGGCAAAGAGTATTTAATATAACATGGAAAATTACTGCATCAATGGGCTCAAGCGTGGCAACAATTGTGAGGCTGGCCCAGGACTGGGTAGTGTTTCGTTCTGTTGTGCATAGGGTCACTATGAGTCGATATCCGACTTGATGGCATCTAACAATACCAACAACCAGGAGAATGAACAAATCTGTCGTGGAAGAAGTAGTACAGTCAGAGTGCTCCATAGAAATGAGGATAGTCAGACTCTGACACATACTTTGCACATATTATCAGGAAGGACCAGTCTCTGGAGAAGAAGGACATCATGTTTAGAAAAATGGAGGGTCAGTGAAAAAGAAGACTCTCAATGAAATGGATTAAAACAGTGGCTGCAACAATCTGTTCAAACACAACCACTGAGAGGATGGTGCGGGGCCGGGAAGTATTTCGTATGAGTCAGAACTACCCCAACAACAAAAACAACAGATAACTATGAAATACCTTAAATTCTCACTCAAAGATGAAAGCAGCAAAGCTTCTGCAATTCTGGTCTGTAAGATACCTGAGGTTTCAGAGTCTCCTCCAGGCACCTTGACTATATAAATGCCTTCATCCTAGAGAATACTGACTGAATAGAGAGCACTTAGACAAGAACTGACCAGGTAGGGTGTGGGTAGGGATATTGACAAGAGTAGGCCTTAAACTGCTGAAGTTTGAAGAGGCAGTAAAATTGCCAAAACTTCCCTTGCTAAACTAAGAGCTTTGCTGTGTGAATACTGCTACTCTGATTTTATCATAAATCAGTCTGTCTTATCAGGGAGGGCGTGGATGTGTACTTTGAGCACTGGACTGCAAACCAAACCACCAGCCCACCAGCCATGCTGTAGGTCAAAGATAAGGTTTTTCTGCTTCCACAAAGATGTACAGCTTCAGAAAACCTACACAGGGGTCCTGTGAGTCAGAACCAAGCGGATGGTACTAAACAACAAAAGTGTATCTTACTACAATCCTACATTTAGTCTTTATCTATCAGTAACTTTATCTAACAATAACTAAATAGTCATTTCTTATTTTTTTCAGTTTAACAGGACTCTGGACTTTTGTGCCTGACTATAACTAATGCCAGTTTACTGCTATTTTAATAATCATGCCCCCCTAAACCCCCCACCAACTAAAAACAATATAAAGTTAGAGAAAACAACGAACAAAATAGAAGAGCTATAAAAATGGGTTCACTTGTTACACAGGTGGAGAATAATAGTGTGCGTAATCTCTAAAAACAGCAATGCAATAGCCCAGAGATGAGTCAGCAAATTCTGACTTGTGGGCCAATTCAAGCCACTGCCTGTTTGAGGCTATAGCCACACTACTTGGTTTACATATCAACTATGGGTGCTTTTGAATTACAACAGAGTTAAAGAGTTGTAACATGGTTCACATTAATATTTTTTACCTGGTACTTAATACCAGGAAAATATTTACTACCTACTACTTGATTTTTTAAAAAATTGGCTCATTCCTGTTCTAGAAGTCAAAAGATTTTTATTGTGACAGAAAATTCTGATTTAGTAGTATTAGTACAGTAGACAGACAGCTCATCTATCATATATATGATACGCTTTTGAAAGACTTTCTTTTTAAGTCAAATAAGCAATTATAAGTCAATTTCAGAGATAAATAGTTAGTTACCACTAACTTCATAATTTTTTATTTCATTCTCATTCTAGAAATTGGATGGTGACAAATCAAGCATGAAGCCTGCAGCTTTGTTTTATTTTTTACTTCTTGTTATTTTTCATACTGAACTTGGACAAAATAAAGAAACTCCTAGGAAGCAAAGGACAAAGATGCATTACCAAAGATTAAAGAAAAGTTCTTTTCCCAATCATAGGTCAAATAGACAACTTGAGGTACAGCAAACAACTATTGCTACACCAGAAGCAAGATTTCCAATAGCTAGCTTTGATTATAGTATGAAGGAAAAATCTGAATCCTTTTTAAGTCGTCTTGGAGAAGAATCAAGCTATAATGTATTACCAGGTAAGAAAAAAGCATGAGAGATAAGAAAGAATTTTCATGTATATAGCTCACACACAAAAAACTCCAGGTTATTAAAATTTGTTTCATTTATGAAACAATAATTATTTTTGAAATTTTAAATTATGGAAATAATTTAAAGAATCATTTATGGAACAATGCTTATAATACAAAATCAGTGGAAAAAACCACTATTACATTTTGGTTTATTAATCATAATATAAAATACACATAACTTTTAAAATGGCTTTCTTACTTATAATGAAAAGATCTATATTGGTAAATTACTTAGATGATTCTCTGGACACATTACTATTAAATGTAGCCTTTCATTTAAAATTTCCTTGCAGTTTCCCCCACTTTTTCTTTCTCCTTATTTGTTCCCCATTCTACCCATTTCTTATTTACAGGTCTCTTAATTTTGCCTTCCCTTTTCTATTACTTTACCTTCTTCACTTATAATTTTCTTTTTGAGTAATACGAACTCAGATACATGATGTGTCCAACATGTCCATTTACTGAGTTTCTTGATTTCCTAGAGAGTCACAGAACATAGGAACTTTAACTCCAAGTTTAGTCTAAAGAACAGGAGAGTTCTAGAGAGACTTAAAACAAAAAGCTGAATGAATTTCAAGTTTATTCCATTACTGAAATTACTTTAAACTCTCATTTTTATACTTTACATTCTCATTAAACTATCAATGCTTACAATATAATTTATTAAATTATAAAATCTTTTAGCTGTATATTGAAATAGCAATTTTTAATGTATATTTTTGTTTCAGCTTTTCATCAAGAAGCTAATACACCTAGTTCTCTTTTATCAAGTATATATTTGACATTTTGCATTTATAACCATAATAAAAAAATCCATCCAACTATTATGCACATTAACAATGTAGGTCTGGCAGTAACGAATGCCAAGGTACGAAACAAGAGTAAAGCTGGCCGTGATGGTTAAAATTATGTGTCAACTTAGGTTGGCCTTGATTCACATTGGTTTGGCAGTTATGTATTGATGTAATCATCCTCCATTTATAATATGATGTGGTCATTCTCTATTTTTTCATAACACAGATTTTTGCATAATGATCTAGTTTGGAACCTAACCATATTAAGAGCCAAAGAATGGGTGTATGTATATTTAAACAACATATAAGTAAATACTGACTTATTTCAGCAGAGAGTTTTGTCATGAACTTTCATTTTTATTTCTTATTCATGCTATAAAAAAAATTTTAACAACCAAAAATGGTTGAACTATTTTATGTAGAATAAACTACTAGTAGTTCCCAATTTATGATGAGGTTTTGTTCTAATAACTTCATTATAAGTTGGTTCTGACATTAATTTGAATATACTATTTTGCTGTTCTTTAGTTTTCATAGCTTTTGAACAATTTATTTTGAATTATTTTGAACAACAAATCATAATAAAGAAGTGAACTGAAAAGTTCTGCAAGTGAACACCTTAGAATAAAATCAGCAAATTACATGCTCTAACATTGTATATAGTACATATTATTAATGACAACAAGAACAAACAAACAAACAAAAAACAGTTGGAAGTGTGATTACTGGTAACTCGAATATGTTACATCAGAGACTACCTATAATGAATTTCTAAAGGTTCTACCAACAGTTTCAACTAGGCATTTTATTAAAAACTAGTATTTTGCTTTCCATATTTGGCAGAAAACAGCAATTTATATTATAGGTACAGTGCCAAGAAATAAAGTTTTCAAAGCCACTGCAGTTGAGTGGATTCTGACTCATACTGATCCTGACCCGGCAGGGATGAGTAGAACTGCTTCACAGGATATTTTCAGGCTATGAATCTTTAAGATAGACTGCCTCATCTTTCTCTTACAAAGCAATTGGTGGGCTTGAATCAGTTAACAGCCCCAAACTTTAAATAACAAAAGAAAATAGCACTATATAATACTTTTATTAGTATTTATTTCTAATAAAACACCACTGCCTCGGAAATCCTGTACAGGGTTGCTATGAGTCAGAACCGACTCCACAGTACATAACAACAACAACAACAATGCAATATATAGGAGCTCTGTTAGTGTAGTGGTTACGAATTGAGCTGCAAACCGCAAGTTCAGCAGTTCGAAACTACCAGCTGTTCTGGCAGAGAAAGATGAGGCTTTCTGCTCCCATAAAGATTTACAGCTTCGGAAACCCTGTACAGGGTCGCTACGAGTTGGAACCGACTCCATGGCACATAACCACCACCATACAATATATATGCTATGGCACTGTAGATTAACGCACTGGACTACAAAGTCAGTTTGATCCACGAAGTCAGCGGTTCAAGCTCACCAGCCACTCCTTGGAAACCCTATACAGGGTCACTATGGGTCAGAACTGACTCAACGGCACTTTACAACAAACAATAACATGCAATACATGGACTCCTGGTGTGGCATGTAGGATAAGTACTGGACTGTGAATCACAAGATCTGGGGTTCAAACCTACCAGCTGCTCCTCAGAAACCCTATACAGGGCTGTTATGATTTGGAATCAACTTGATAAACTTAGCGCCAACATACAACATATGGAGTCCTGGTGTCATACTGCAGGATAAGTAATAGACTGAGAACTGCAAGGTCATTGGTACAAACCTACCGTCCACTCATCCATAATCCTATAAAGGGTTACTATGAGTAGGCACTGCCTTGACAGTAGTCCTTAATAACAACACCAACAACAATATATCATATATATAACAGTACGCCAATAAAACCCAAAGTTTATAAATGGTATTATTTCACCAAATTAAAATAATTTACATTCCAGTATGGGTAGTTTAGGACATATTTACATCATGAATACAGAAAAAGAACATGGAGACAGGGAAATCAGTTTAAAAGATATAATAATGTTGTTGTTAAGTGTCTTCGAGTCAGTTCCAACTCAGAGAGATTCTGTATAGGGTTTCTGAAGAGTGGATGGTGGATTTGAACCACCGACCTTGTGGTTCGAAATCCAGTGCTAATCCTACAGCACCACACAGTACCCCATATATTGTATGTTGTTGTTAAGTGCTGTCAAGTAGATTCTGACTCATAGAGACCCTTATAGGGTTTCCAAGGAGCAGCTGGTGGGTTTGAACTGCTGACTTGTGGTTCGCAGACCAGTGCTGATCCTACAGCACCACACCAGGAGTACATCTATATGTCCATCCTAAAGCCAGTACCACAATGTTTTCATTACTATAGCTTTAAAATGCTCTGAAATTGGGAAGTGTGAGTCTGTCTTTGGCTGGTTTTTCTAGAAAAGAAAAACTAGTGATGGTTATATATACATATACATATAAGAGAGAAAGATTTAAGGAATGTTTTCACGTGGTTGTAAAGCCAAGGCCATGGGTCAGACATTAGATTGGTGGCTTCCCCTGAACCATGTAGCTGCAGGGGCTGATGAACCCAAGATCAGCAAGTCAGACAGCAGGGTGCTGGCTCATGGACTGAGATGCTTAGGATACCCAAGATTAGTTGGCAATACAGCAGCCTATGGGTCAAGTCCCAAGAAATGGAAATCAGATGATGAGAGTCAGATGCAAGATTCACAGTAAAGAAAGTGCTAGACAACCATGCCAGAACACCCATATATAACGGAAAGATAGAAAGTTTTGCTATAAAATCATATAAATCAAAATGCGAAGTTATTGTTTCTTGACATATTCTCCACCTAGGACTATACACATTTGAAGTAAATGTTTTTATCTCCCTAATGCGTCAGACTGTAAAGTCATTTGAACTGCAAGGTTGATGGTTCAAGCTCACCAGCTGTTCCTTGGAAACCCTACACAGAGTTGCTATGGGTCGGAACCAACTCGACGGCATTTAACAACAACAACAACAACAATCCTTCTCTACACCACTCATCTGTCAGTTTGTTATACTGTGTGGCTTGTGAGTTGCTGTGATACTGGAAGGTATGTCACTGGCATTTTAAATACCAGCAGGGTCACCCATGGTGGACATTGAATGGTTTAAAATTAAGAAAGGTGTGCAACAAGGTTGTATTCTTTCATTATACTTATTCAACCTGTATGCTGAGCAAATAATCCGAGAAGCTGGGTTCTATGAAGAAAAATGTGGCATCAGGATTGGAGGAAGACTCATTAAAAATTTGTGATATGCAGATGATACAACCTTGCTTGCTGAAAGTGAAAAGAACTTAAAATATTTACTGACTAAGATCAAAGAGCACAGCCTTGGGTATGGATTGCATCTCAATATAAAGAAAGCAAAAATCCTCATCACTGTACCAATAAACAACATTCTTATCAACGGAGAAAAGATTGAAGTTGTCAAAGATTTCATTCAACTACCAACACTCACAAACCTGTTGGTCAAGCAGCAGTCAAGAAATCAAATGGCGTATTGCATTAGACAAATCTGCTGCACAAGACCTTTTTAAAGTGTTGAAGAGCAAAGATGTCAGCCTGACGCAAGCCATGGTATTTTCAATAACCTCATATGCATGTGAAAGCTGGACAGTGAATACAGAAGACCATAGAAGAATTGATGCTTTTGAGTTATGGTGTTGGAAGAAGTGCAGCCAGAGTGCTCCCTGGAGGCGAAGATGGCCAAACGTCGTCTCTCATACTTTGGACATATTGTCAGGAGGGACTAGTCGCTGGAGAAGGATATCATGTTTGGTAAGGTGGAGGGTCAGGGAAAAAGAGGAAGACCCCAGCAAGATGGATTGGCAAAGTGGCAGCATCAATAGGCTCAAGCGTGTCCAACAGTAGTGAGGTTGGCCCAGGATCGGGTAGTGTTTCGTTCTGTTGTGCATAGGGTCGCTATGAGTCGGTAATGACTCGATGGCACCTAACAACAACAATAATCCTTCTCTGAAAATTTCTGCCTTCTTAGATTTATATGACCTCAAAATGGCAGTTTTAGCATCCTCGAGGGACTCAAAACATTCTCCTTTTCAATATTATTTGAGTATTGGGAACAAAAAGAAGTCTTAAGGGGAAAGATAAGGGCCCTAGGATGGATGAACTAAGTTTTCCAATGGAATTCTTGTAGGACAGTTCTTGCTACCCTGAAGAATGAGCAGCTGCATTGTCCTAAAGGAAAACAATATTCCTTGCTACAACTTTCCTGGCCTTTTTCTCACCAGTGCAAATTTCAATTTTCTTTAATTTTTTTCATAATAACCCCCCCTGATTATCCTGTGTCCTTTGAGAAAATCTATCAAGATTATTCCTTTGGAGCCCTCTAAGACACCTGCCATAACCTTCTGAGCTGACCTCTCTACCTTAAGTTGAACTGATCCAGCAGACCCCTTCAGAATCTACTGTTCTGATTGTGCCTTTTATTTGAAGCCTCCCTAGTAGTGCATTTGAAGACAAGTGTATTACAGAGAGGACTCATCGGTAGCCATCCATTGATGGCAGAGGGATGTTTAAAGATGTCTTATTAGTAATAAACTTGTGCATGCATGAACTGGAACCCTAGTAGGAATACTTTTTGGTTTATCCTCATATATTCAATGCAGCCCACACCCTTGAGGAGACTCCCTTTTGGCTAACCGGTTGCTCCTAGCAAATCTCATTATAGAGGTGACTATATCAGATCTCATCATGGAGGATGACGACATCATATATTTTGTCAAATATAACTATCAAACAAGAGAATCATAGACCAGTCAAGTTAACACACAACCTTAATCACTTAGTCTTTCAACCTTGTTCTTCTTTGAGATTGTTTTGGTTATTTGGAGCCTCTTGCAATTGCATATGAATTTGAGCACCAGCTTTTCCATTGCAAAAAAAGACTGGTATATTGATATTTTGAAAGGATATGCACTTTGATAGGCAAGACAAAACATGTACATACTTTTCTTCTGGGGTGAGGGAGTACAAATATCCAAATGAGAGCTGGTAGAGCCTGAATTATTACAGACCATGTTCAGGAAAATAAAACGAGACAAATGTGAGAGCTCAGTTGGGGACATAACTTGAGACTGGATTGTCAGATGGAGGAGCGATGTTAGGGCTGATACCAGGAGTGGAAAGAAAATTTCTCACTAATATGCTCCACAGCCCTATTTGCTGTTTTTTTTGTTAAGTGCTGTTGACTCGATTTTGACTCATAGTGACCCTGTATAGTGTTTCCAAGGTGCAACTGGTGGGTTTGAACCACCAACCTTGTGATTCACAGTCCAGTGCTAATCCTACAGCACCACACCCAGAGGCATGTATTTTTTATCTACAACCTTTCATGGAGAGAAGTGAATGTGCTAAAAACACAACAATCTCTAAAACCCAACAATACTGCATAATACATATAATACTTAGGGACAATATTATGCTATGTGGATTATGCATCAATGAAATATTAATAACCATAAAAGATGTAGTTACAAAGCCTCATTTAGAATTCAATGTCAGAAGTGCCACAGAAACATGTTGAATGATCACCTTCCCCATGTGCATACCGAGAAAAGTAGGGTATAGCCCAACAGTACCGTCGCGGTTTGCTGCTCTGGGCACTGATGGTTTTGAATACCACGTCCTTTCTGAAGTTGCTTAATTTCTCTTAGCCAATAGAACAAAAGACTGCAGAATGTGTATGTGGTTTGTATCTTCTCATTCCCACTGCTACAGGACTCATGGCAGCTTGATATGAATTGAGGCTTATTTTCAGGGTACCTGAATGACTGCAGTGAGTAGAATCCCTATATCCCCCATCCTTGAATGTGAAGGAGGAATTGAGATTTGGGGTTATTTGTTGCTATTGTATAACTTTGTCAATCGTGACTGATACAAGGCGGAAGTGAAATTCAGAGAGTCCACAAGAAGATCACTCTCATGGGCTGAGAGAGGCAGGGAGATGTATGTGAGGAACATTTCAGAAGGTTATACAAAGAAGGAACTTCTCTATGCAAAAACACATAAAGAGCACTATTCTCCCTGGTTATGTCAGTTTGACTTCATACTGTGTTCATTTCTACTCACAACGGCTAAAACCTACATAAGGAATTTAATGTATTCTATGTGTGCTATCTCTGTTCTTCCAGGAAAAAAAGGGCACTGCTTGGTCAAAGGGATGATCATGTACAACAAAGCTGTATGGTCTCCTGAGCCTTGTACTACCTGTCTCTGCTCCAACGGAAGAGTGCTTTGTGATGAAACTTTATGTCACCCTCAGATGTGCCCCCAAACATTTATACCTGAAGGAGAATGCTGCCCCGTCTGCTCTGATACTGGTATAGAGTTTCCACCAAAACAATATATTACATATGACTTAGCCTTTAACTTTCATTTGTTTTCATTCTAATACTATCTTAAGTTTTAAATTATGATAAGCATTAAATTTAGGCACAACACTGGAAAACAGAAAATACTTAGAAAATGTATGGTTGTTGTGGTGTGCCGTCAAACTGGTTTTGATTCATATAGCAACCCAATCCAAAGACCAGTTGATAGGTTTGAACAACTAACCTTGAGTTTAGCAGTCCAGTGCCTATCCTACAATGCCACACCAGGACCTCACTGAACCACTATTGTTGTTAAGTGCCATCGAGGCAGTTCCAACTCAAACCTATATAGGGTTTCAGGTAGATTTGAACCACTGAACTACAGTTTAAACAGACGTTGAGGTCCAGTGCTTATCCTACAGCACCCCACCAGGACTCTTATATACATACATAGTTGTTGATACACACAGATGACACAGACACACACATGCACACAAACACACAAAGAGCATTACTGAACTCTTTTTATGTGTTAGGACCTCTGTTTAGAGCTTTACATGCATTATCTCACTTAACCCAACTCAACACCAGTAATCATTATCTTCAGCTTGTTGTTGCTGTTAGGTGCTGTTGAGTTGGTTCCGACCCATAGTGACCCTGTATAGGGTTTTCAAGGAACGGCTGGTGAACTTGAACTGCCGACCTTGTGGTTCAAACTGACTTTGCAGTCCAGTGCATTAAACTACAGCACCACACCAGGACTCATAGACATGCAGAATTCATGGTAAACGAAGTAGGAGTGATTTCCATCTACTGAGAATTAAACCCCAACTCTCCAGACTGTTCCCAACCACTTAAGGTAGTGCAGGGACTTGTGGGAAATCATTCCTTGGATTATCTGAAGGTAATAACGGAGCATGGACCTGAAACAGTGGTCTCTTGTGGCACTTTTGTGCACTGGAAGGTCACACCCTGGAGTTCTGTTGGTAGCTCACTGTTTCTTATCAAGTTATTGTATTGTGGGACATCAGTATCTTGCTTTATCTGTTAAATCACTTAATGATCAGAAGGAACAGAAAATTTTTCTATTGTTTCTGACTGCAGTAAATTATTTATATACAATCACAGGGGTAGATGTCTATAAAAGTCTCCTACCAGGAAGATTTATTAGAATATTTTATAATTGCATTTTGTTTTATATTACCAATTATTTCACTAAGGTATTGTGCTTTTCAAAAATGTTAGAAATAGAAGTGTTCAATGGAATTGATTCTTTGGGGTGAAACACAGGTATATAAGACAAGATTCAGAAATACTTTTTTTAAAGAATATGGAATATTCTTAAAATGCTAGGGGTTTTGGTTTTTTAAACAATAAACGTGGATACAGGGAGCGTGATGGCTCATTAGGATAAACATTGGACTTCAAGTCACAGGATCAGTGGTTTGAGCCCCCTGGCACTCCACAGGAAAAAGATAAGGTTTTCTGCTACCGCAGAGTTTAGAAGCTTGGAGATCTTATGCGGTGTCTCTGTGAGTCAAACTGACTCGAAAGGGATCAATAACAACAACAAAAACTTGTATATACAAGAATAATTTTAAATATTTGAATATGACAGTACTAATTTGTTAGTTTTTATACTAATTTTTTTCCTGTTTTCTTTTAGAATGTTCTGTTAGAGATGTATAACTATAACTTAGAGATAAATGCAATATACTGGTATCAAGAAAGTTTTTGATATCACAGATGTGAAACTATAACTCACAGATACTGTAATATAACTGATAAAGAAATTTCTTCAAATAATTATATTTTCTAAATTTTTTTGGACTAATTCAATTGATAAAATACATTTATAAATTTTTATAGAAGAAAAGCTATGCAACTGTGAACAACTCTCCCTAGAACTTTTGATTTGAAGGGTGAGTTTGAACTCTGGTCTTGTCATACCTTTGCCGCTTTCTGACACAAATAATGACAAATATAAAAGCAGACTAATGCTCTATTCTGTTCCTGTCATCATGGAATGATAAAAATAAAAGCACTCCTGTGCATGTGTCTAAGATAAAACACCACCACTAAGTCCACTAATTTTCTAAATCTCAGGCAGTAAAATAATTCGAGTCTAGGAGGGAAATAGGGAAATTTGTATACTTCTGAATACCAGAGTATACTATTAGGTTTATGGAGCATAAAGAAATAAAGACAGATAATAATAATAAATCTGTATATATAATCTGATCTAATTATAATAAGTGAAATATACATACTTTCACATTTTTATGTCTGATGGCATTCTACAGAGTCTTATATTATTATTAACTCTAATTGAACAGCATCTATTAAAAAGGTATCCCATCTGATTATATTGTAATCTCACAATAGGCTTGCTTAGCATCTTTAGATCATGTGGCAATATTATTCCCTCTTTAGTCATTAGGCAATACACTATATTAGTAAAAATAAATATTATGACCCAGAAGCCAAAATGGGGGGGGGGGAGGAGCAAAAGTTTAAAAAATGGAAATACAGTTTACTATAAAATATTTTCAAGCAAAAATTTCAAGATGCACTTCATATTTATATTGCTTACAAATACTCAGAGGGAATAATATTTACTAACCTTTTCTTCATTATTTCCCCTTTATTACTATCATCAACTTGCTCCTGCTACCTCCTTTTGCCTCATGATCAATTTATTCCCTGCACATTGGTTTAGCATTAAATGATACAACTGAATTTTCTGGTGATTCTTCAGAACAAAAAGAACCTACCACTTTACTTCATAAGCAACTGCCATCTACTCAGGTGGAAACAGCCAAAGAATTACAAAAAGAAGAATTTCAATCTGAGGAGGAGGAAAATGAAGATGACAATTTGGAGCAAAAGAAAAAAATCCCTATACCTCAACATAGGGAGAAACTACACAATGAAGATCAGAGCAGAGAGAAAGAGCGAAAGGAGAAATCTCAAGAGAAGGAGGAGCAGGTATATCAACATTTAAATCAAGGAAGGGAAGAGGAGGAAGAAGAGGAAGGAGAGGAAGATGAAGAAGACCCTGCTGGAGGAGATGTTTTCAGAATGCCTTCTCAACTCCCAATACCTGCCCCTTCTAGAGGCACGCTGTCTCTGCCAAGCAGATGCTTCCTGTCTTATAAGACCATAAGCTGCATAAACATGGAACTCACACAGATACCGCTACTAACAGCATCGGAGATAACAAATCTGGAGCTAGCTGGTAAGAGATGTTAACTTCTGTTTAATTTTGTGTTTTAAAAGTAAATGATATCTAATGATCTTTAAATATATATATATATATTTTTAATTTCATAATACTAGAAATTAACCCTGAACAGGCTGATTTAATAAACTTCCAACATATGTAAACTATACAAAAGAGATGACGGCTTGTAATGCAGAACAGTTAGATACAATGCAAATTCCTCTAAATCAAATCATGATTGTTCCATTGACCTCCTTTGATTTTAAAGTTTGCTTTATTGAAGTTTAAAAAGGAACCCTAGTGGTCCAGTGGGTTAAACATTAGACTGCTGAGAGGTCAGCAGTTGAAACTCACCAGTCATACTACAGAAGAAAGATGAGGCAGCCTGCTTCCGTAAACATTTACAACCTCAGAAACCCTATAGAGCAAATCTACTCTGTCCCTATAGGGTTGTTATGAGTTGGAGCCAAAACAATAGTTTGGTTTAGCTTTTGGTATATATTAGTTTGGAATACTGGTTTAGTTTAGTTTTTGATTTATTGAAGTATAATTTGTAGAATTAAACTTGTTTTTAGTGTACACTTCAATGAGTTTTTACAAATGCATAGAGTCATGCACCACCCCAAATTCCCTCATCTTTCACTGAACCTCTGACTTGTTTCCTGTCCCTATAGATTTACCTTTCCCAAAATGTAATCTACGTAGTCAAGCTTCTTCCATCAGCATAGTGAATTGGAGATTCTTTCATGTTGTTGATGTATCCTTTACTGCTAAGTAGTGCTCCAGAGTATAAATGGATTAAAATAACTGGGAACATTTGGGTTGTTTCCAGTTTGGATTGATTATATACAGAGTTGTTAAACCATTCTCATACAGATTCAGTGTAGACCTAGGTTTTTGTTTCTTCTCTATGAGTGGGATTGCTAGGTCATATAGTAAATGCCAAGCGCTGCTCTATAAAGTGGTTACACTTTCCTACCAGCCATATAGGTGAGTTTCTGCTGCCCAAACCCTGGCTAACACTAGGTATTATAAGTTGTTTCTGCCTGCTTTTACCCACTTATGGTATGTAAGCCAGTGAAGAAGAAATAGAGAATTCTACCAATTTCTTCATTCTGAAATTGATAAAACATGCAATCAGGATGTACTGATCAGGAGAACAAACAAGATGGCGGATAGGGTAGAAGTGCAGTGAAGAGTTCTGTTACCAACAACACAGAATACCCGACCAAACAGACTCAGGAGATGGTGCCAGAATTCCGAACCACATATAAAGGAATATTTAGAAGATTGGAAGACTTAAGCTATGCGAATTTGAAGCAGAAGCATGAAAACCAAGTCTTTCTAATTCAAGACACTCAGCTGCTCCCAGAGCTGCCATCTTGGGCAAGACCAAACAGGGGAAGGATCAGAGCAGCCATGGACACTTGACAGAACTGCACAGATAAAGGAGTGGGCATTCTTTTTTTTTGTTTTGTTTTAATCTGTTTGTTGGAATCTCACTGTCTGCACACCTCCATTCTGGTGACTGGAGGAGGGGGTGCCTGAGCAAGTGGACACCCCAACCCCACCCCAGGAAGGTTCTACTATGCATGCGCACAGATCTCCTCGAAATTGAAAGGGACAATTTCCACTTAAAACCAAAGAGCCACAGCCAGTGCTGAACTGTTTATAACTAGAAAAAAGGCCTGAAGAGGGATTATGGAGCAGGACAGGTAGACAAAAAAGGAAATAGGCCAAAAATTAAATCCCGAGGTACGTCATACCAACCAAAAGTGGCATCTTGAAATTTCTCAGGAAGAAGAGTGAAAGGGAAGCCCATCTCCTGATCACATCTACCTGGAGGCAACCAGAAAGCATAAAAAAAAAAAAAAAACACACCCATCTAAGTATTAAGGCCACAGATAACTCCTGTATATTCCCAAAAAACAGAAGCAGATGACCATGTCCAATAACGAAATAAATTGATTGAGGCAAATGAGCTGGAAGTAGACCTACACTCCATACTGGAAGATCGGTATGCTTAGGAATGCCTGAGAAGGAATTCAGAAAAATGATTATAAAATGTATCAAAACACTTTACAATGGAGTAGAGACAAATAAGGAAGAAGTCAGGAAAGCGCTACAGGAACATTCAAATAAGATAGATACAGCATTGGAAACAATTCAAAACCTATAGAAAGCGGTCCAAACGATTTAACAACAGCATATCAGAAATGGACAATACATTGAAAGGGCAAAGGAGTAGAACTGAAGAGATAGAAGCCAGAACTAGTGAGCTAGATGATAAATCTCTCAACACTACTAAGATAGAAGAACAAACACAAAAAAGGATTTAAAAAATCTGAAGAAGGCCTAAAATTCATGTTGGACAACATAAGGAGGAATAACAAGAATTATCGGCAATCTGGAACAGGAAGAATCACACAACTCCACAGAGGAGACACTTGAAGAGCTTCTGGAAGAAAATTTTGCTAACATCCTAGAAAGCGAAAAAATAGCATTCAAGAAGTTCAACGAATCCCAGAAAGGATAAACACTAAGAGAAAATCACCAAGACATATAATAATCAAGCTCTCCAAATTCAAAGGACAGAATCCTGAAGGCAGCTAAAGAAAAGAAAAGTGTAAAACACAAAGTCAAGCAAATCAGATTAAGCTCGGATATCTCAACAGAAACGATGCAGGCAAGAAGGCAATGGGGAGATTTATATAAAACCCTGAAAGAAAAAAACTGCTAACTAAGAATCCTCTACCCAGCAAAGCTGTTAATCAAATACAATGGTGTAATCAAAACATTCCAGGATAAATAGAAGCCAAAGGATTTTAACAAAGCCAACCCTGCTATGAAAAACATCCTAAAGAAAGTTCTGTGGACTGAGAACCAACCAGAACAGACAACAACTAGAGAATGATGTATATGGCAGAATCACCCTGAACTCAATCAACAAATGGAAGAGTCAAGAACAGAATAAAATTATAAGAACAGAGGATCTGGGAGGTGAGTTTATGATCAAAACAATTACAATGTGAAAGAAGGTAAACAAAGAGGAACAGAGATCCAGGTGGTGAGAAGATGAGGTAGATTACAGGATAAAATAGACTGTACTAAATGGAGGGAAGAATTAATGGAATATAAGGTAGCCACAACAATGGGGTTGGGGTGGCGAGTTTAGTATGGGTGTTGGGGAGGGCAATAAAAGAAGAGGGAGGAGGCAGAAGAACAAGTTAGATAGGGGAACACTGAGACAGGTTTGCATGTCTTAAATGGGACAGTGGTAAATAGTGACGCATGCTCAACCTTAGGGCTCTGTGATACAGGGATCTAATTATAGTTTGAAGAGGGGACATAATATTTAAATGCTTGAGTGTCTTATGAATATTAGTTTCCCTTGCCTACTATTGTAAAATAGACACTTGAGTGGGATAGAAAGGAATGTTAAGAAACATGATTAGAGAAAACTTGTAAGCCCGTCTTCAGCCTATAACTGATTGGAATACCTAAAAGGGGTTCTAGAACTTGGCCAGTGAAATAGGCCTCAGGTAAAGCCTTTACCGAATATAGGCCCTTGGTGGAATCCTGGGTCCCATTCAGAACCTTATGAGGTGGGGCAGTCCCACTAGAAAGGACAAGCAGACCAGCCTGCAACAGCTACAGTGACAGAAGATACATCTTCAAAGAAAGATCATCAGGAAAAACCCATAACAAAAATGTCAGCATGACTGGCTACTACAAGAATAACCAAGCTGTTCACAAGGAAGACATCAAGGCTAGCAATCAAGTTCCTTCAGTACAAACTCCCCTCTAAGACTGAAACTCAATGGGAACACACAAATAATCATGTAAGCTTGCTGGCGACCACACAAGAAGTGGAAGAGGGGGAAAGGCAGCAATGAAGAAAGGGGCTGAGTTCAACCACAGTCTACTGACTCCCATTAACCTGGACATGAGAGAGAGAAGAGGAAGGGCTGGTTGGTCCAAAGTGTGGTGAGACCTCAGACAGTTGAGTCCATGGACAAGGACATAGCTACAGAGGGCTAGAGCAGAGTGAAGCATCCAGCTGATATGAAGTGAGAGGAGATGCACAAGAACACCCAAAATTGCAGACAACACCCATTTGACCTAGCTTCAATGACTCAATAATCAGAACTCAACTAGAGGAAGACAACAACAACAACAACAAATTTTTTTGATACAGGAAACAAGGGTAAATTGCTACAATTTGATGAACCTGACCTATACTCATGGAGGTAGTAACGCTAAAAAAACAGAGAGGGAAGGAATCTTTACATTATGTATCAATGCTATCCCCTCTGTACACAGGGTAGATAGGGACGGACAACTTAGACATTGGCTACCTAAACTGCGGGGGCGATAAATGATCAAAGTGACTGACTTACAAGATTTCAAGAGGGACTTTAAGAGTATGGCATATACAGAAAGAGTCCCCATTGAATAGTTGTCATCTTGTCTAGATGACTCTGGTGAAAAGAGATGGGGATAAGATTCGTAAGATTCAATAGTGAATACTTGTTTTCATGACTAATTGCAACTACCACAATTGTAAAGGTAGAAGTTTTGTAACAAAAACAGGGGTATGGTTAATCTTACATTTCAGAAACAGAGGACCCTAGGACCATCAAGGGAGAAGAGCACAAGCAGAATGCAGGACCTTATCCAGAGCAGCAGGGACACCAGAGATGGAGGCAGAGATGGGGAGCATGGAGAGGGGGAGTGGCTGAGGACTCTAGATTCATGGGAAGAGAGGGACTAAGAGCTGCTAGCCAGTAGGCAGATTTGCAGAATGTGCCCTTTGGAGATGTAAATTATTATATATGCAAAAAAAAAAAGTATTGATCATTACTGGTAATTGGAATGTAAAGTTGGAAAATATGGCCTTGGTGATAGAAATGATGCTGGAGATTAAGTCAATGATTTGTTCATTTCAAATACCTTCTTTAGACAGCATAAGAGACGAGTACACACATGAACCTCACCTGATAGAATATAGAAAAATCAAATCGACTACATCTGCAGAAAGAGACGATGGAAAAACTCCATATCATCAGTCAAAACAAGGCCAGGGGCAGACGATGGATCTTGGCTGAAAGCAGAGAATATCAGGACGATGTTTACCTGTGCTTTACTGACTATGCAAAGGCTTTTGATTGTGTGAATCATGACAAGCTATGGACAACACTGCAAAGTACTAGTATTTCTGAACACTTAACTGTGCTCATGAGGAATCTGTACATGGATCAAGAGGCAGTTGTTCGAACAGAACATGGGAACCCTGAATGGTTTAAAATTAAGACAGCTATGCGACAGGGTTGTAGTATTCTTTCATCAAATTTATTCAAGCTTTATTCTGTGCAAATAATCCGAGAAGCTGGGTTCTATGAAGAAAAATGTGGCATCAGGATTGGAGGAAGACTCATTAACAACCTGCAATATGCAGATGATTAAACCTTGCTTGCTGAAAGTGAAGACGACTTAAAATACTCACTGATGAAGATCAAAGAGCACAGCCTTTGGTATGGATTACATCTCAATGTCAAGAAAAAAAAAAAATCTTCACTGCTGGACCAATAAACAACATTCTTATCAACGGAGAAAAGACTAAAATTGTCAAGGTCTTCATTCTTCTTGAATCAACTATCAACACTCATGGAAGCAGCAGTCAGGAAATCAGACGATGTATTGCATTAGGCAAATCTGCTGCACAAGACCTTTTTAAAGTGTTGAAGAGCAAAGATGTCAGCTTGAGGACTAAGGTGCGCCTGACCCAAAGCATGGTATTTTCAATAACCTCATATGCATGGGAAAGCTGGACAATGAATAAGGATAACTGTAGATGAATTGATGCTTTTGAGCTATGGTGTTGGAGGAGAATATTGAAAGTGCCATGGGCTACCAGAAAAACCAACAGATCTGTGTTGGAAGAAGTGCAGCCAGAGTGCCCCTTGGAGGCCAAGATGGACAAACTTCATCTCTCATACTTTGAACATGTTGTCAGGAAGGACCAGTCGCTGGAGAAGAATATCATGTTTGGTAGGTGGAGGGTTAGAGAAAATGCGGAAGACCCCCAGCAAGATGGATTGGCAAAGTGGCAGCCATCAAGCGTGGCAACAATTGTGAGGTTGTCCCAGGATCAGGCAGTGTTTCATTCTGTTGTGCATAGGGTCGCTATGAGTTGGTACCGACTCGATGGCACCTAACAACTTCAACAACAACAATGGTATGTAGTGGCTCAGACCTTTTGCTATGTTCTATTGAAGTTCCAAGGAGGGAAATGTCATTAGATGTGTACCTTAGTATGGCTGGAGGGGAGAGGTCAGACAAGACTGGATGAGCCTGGGAGTTCATCTGGGTGACAAGGTCCACAACACATGGCCTAGAGATGCAAGGGTGTGAGAGTCTGAATGGGTTTTAGAGTGTATTTTACGGGACGGCTGACTTCTTTGTTACTGACATCACTGACTTAGGTCCAGGTCCCTCGAAGCACACTGTGAGAAGAGAATTCAGGTGCAAGTGATTTATAAGGAAGTGGTCCAGGGAAACTGGTAGGATAACGGGGCCTACTTCTTTTATTCAACTATAAAATGTATGATCATTGAGATGAATACTCAGTAAATGAATTTCAACACTTTTGATGAGGACTAAAAGGTATGAAAGGAGCTCTGGTAGCGTAGTGGTTACGAATCGGTCTGCTAACCTCACGGTCAGCAGTTCGAAACTACCAGCTTTTCTGCGGGAGAAAGACAAGGCTTTCTGCTCCCGTAAAGATTTACAGCTTCAGAAATCCTGTACAGGGTCACTATGAGTCGGAACTGACTCCACGGCACATAACAACAACAACAACAACAAAACGGTATGAAGACATTCCAGTATCAAACTGGCTGCAGCTTTAATGCCTTTTCTTTGACAATGCCTACTGCAAGGCTCTCTGCTGTTTTGGCCTGTATGCCAGGTGCATTTTATGTTAAGGAAACTTGACTTGTGCAATATAAAGTCTCAATGAAAGATAAGTGGTCTATATGGCTGGTCACATTATCAAATCTTAGATCTATGTTATAAAAATAACATAGATCACTATGTTATTTTTATAGCATTACTATTTCTGGTAAGCTCATTTTTGTGTGTGTTTAAAATGATCACTACAAACATTCTGTGTAAAATCCATATACTTGGTTATGCACACACACACACACACAACCCCATAGCATTAAAGCATATACAACTTCCATCAAATGAAGCTAGAACACACTAAAAGGCATTAGATCAGAAAGGGACTGAGGAGATCATCTTCCTAAACTTCATATTTAGAGAAGGAAAATGATGATCAGAGAAGGTAAGTAATGTGTCTGAAATTTTATTAATAAGTATAGCATTGTGTTTCCAGCTCAAAGTCTAAGAAAGCTCAATGAGGAACTATGAAGAACCATAAATATCAATTCTATACACCTTTAAGAAGCATATCTTTGCTGTAATAATGCTAATTGAATTGTCAAGCAGACCACCTTCTGACTGTTTCAAGCATGAGGTTTTATCTATATAACATAATATACCAGAATACAGAAAGTCTTAGGGAGAAAATTTTTACTGTAAATCAATCTCATCCCAGTTTTGCTGTTCCTAAACATGCAATGTTTATATACATTATATTCTGTTTTGTTCTGAGTATTGTTTTCTCCTCCAAATAAAGTTCTAATTTTATATCTATGCACATATGAGTGTATGTATTTGGGTGTGCCCCTATAACACAAACTGCTACTATTTGTTCTAGGGAATTCCATCACTTCTATTCCAAATGAAGCATTTAATGGATTGCCTAACTTAGAAAGGCTTGATCTGAGCAAAAATAATATCACCTCTTCAGGCATAGGTCCCAAAGCATTCAAGGTAATGACATTATGATCTGATTCGTGAGTAAAAATACATTTAATCTGTTTTCCTGTATAACTTGCATTGGCTATGGTTGGAGGTGGGCAAGGGAAAAAAAAGTAAAATGTCTACAGCTGATAGTTTCCTTTCAAATTAAGAAAGCAAACTTTATCTTGAACAAAAGTTTGCTGTTCTACATGTTTCTAGCAGTTTTTCTAAGCATTGTTCTTAGGGTACCAACAATAACATCTGTGACAAAAATAATGTTTTGAATTTATGAAACAGCTTCTCTCCATGTAGCTGAAAACATGTGAAAATAGGGTTTCCTAAAGCATAAAGCACTTAATTTCTGGGAATTAAGGAGTGCTCATTTGGAAACGCTACAGACATTTTTAGTCCAGCAAGACAGAGGACCCTTATTTTTATGCAACGGACAAAATCTGATGCTGAGAGTACGCTGGTTGGAGAAGGTTCTGGAAAACCAAACAGGTTCAGATGAAAATTAGCCTGGGGACAGGTTAGGGAAAGAGAAGGAGAAAAGAGAGAATAGGAAACAGAATTGAATAAACCTCTGAAAGAAACAGATTTGATTTTAAAAAAATGGAGAAGAGAGGAATTTCTGAGAAACAAAGGCAGAAGAGAGTCTGTAGACAAGTACACATAAATGCAGGCTCTGTAAAAAGCCATACATAAAACATTATGAATCTCACTACGCCAGAATTTGTATTCTTAGACAATCTTCTGGGTCTTTTGCCAACCTTGGATGAATCCTTGGCCATTTATTCCCAGTTTCTGGTTTTTAATCCAGATTCTAGAGCAGTGGCTCGATATGATAAGCACTGGATTGTGAACCATAAGGTTCCCGGTTCAAGCCTGCTAGCTGTTCCACAGGAGAAAGATAAGACTTTCTGTTCTCATGAAGATTTAAAGCTTCGGAAACCCTATACAGGATCACTATGAGTCAGAGCCAACTCAACGACACTTAACAACAACTAGGGTGAAAGTAAGTGATCTTTAGACACTTGAGGGGTGCACATGCCTGCCATAGACTACAGTGTTATTTATCCACTTCCTGCAAGCATGACTTTAGTGTTAGGGAGTTTATTTCAGTATTTGACCATGAGCAGGATGTTATAGAAAATTCCTCCTTTTCTCATTTTGGGATTCTCTGTCCACCTCCAAAATAGTTGAAATTTGAATAAGAACACTGGATTGGGAAATCCCTTCATGAGGCTTCCTAACAGGGCCCAACTGCTGCTTTCTACTTAGCTGGCAGGTTAGGCTAGCTGTGGGAGGCAGCTAGACATGTGAGACTGCACTTTTTGTAGACAGCCATATGATTTGGGTACCAACCACACTGTAATAGTTTGTACTACTTATGGCATTTCATTATGAAAAACTTTCATAATAATTAGTTTTGTTTTATAACACCATCCCTATTTAATACAGATAGGAAACTGAGGTTTACAATTAGTTTGAAAGAAATTAGAATAACAGTCTTAATTGTTAGCATTAAGAATAGATTACAGCATTATTTAATTCATATTATTATATCTATTACTATTTAGGTAAAAACCTAAGATCTAGCCAAGTACGGCTGATCCATTGGCTAGAGAAGCTTCCTGTTGCTTATTAAAGCTACTATCTAATGTGGGTTGTTGTTAAGTGCTGTTGAGTCGGTTCCGACCCATAGTGATCCTGCACAGAGTTTCCGAGGATGTAAATCTCTACGGGAGCAGAAAGCCTCATCTTTCTCCAGCGTAGCGGCTGGTAGTTTCGAACTGCTGACCTTAAGGTTCGCAGCCCAATTCGTAACCACTACGCTACCAGAGTGAGATATAAAGTCACATAATGTAGTTATATTCCAGTCCAATCTATATGGGGACCATTCATGTGACCCCAACATTACTGTCAAATCCCACGTAAATCTATGCAGTTTTGTAAGACGTAACTTACTAATTCAAACTGACCATTACATAAGCTACATGTCTATAGATTTGTGACCAGATAAAAGAATAACTGAAATTTGTTTTTTAAGCTTCTGAAGAAGTTAATGCATCTGAATGTAGATGGAAACAATCTTATACAGATTCCTTCAGAACTGCCATCTACATTAGAAGAACTTAAAATCAATGATAACAATCTCCAGGCTATCAATGAAAACAGTTTATCAGGTATTTGACATTTGATTTTCCATTCTATGTAACCTTCCTTCTATTTGTTGTTGAATGCCTTCTATAGCTGAGTGGAAATTGTATCTACAGTATTACAAATATGTATAATATTGCAAAAATCTACACATTAATAGTAAACTTTTAAGGTCATTTTGCCACTAAAGTTATTAAAACTAACATTAACTGTTGACTTCTAGTATAAACTGCCTGTTGTCTTAAAAAGGAACTCTTATTATAAACAAAACACTCTTGTATATATTTCAGGTTATCTTCATCTATAATATAACTGTGGAGTCTTGGTGTGGCACTGTAATTTAATGCACCAGATTGCAGAGCCGTCTGAACTGCAACATCTGTAGTTCACGTTTACCAGACACTCTTCAGAAACCCTATCAGAGTTGCTATGGGTTGGAATCGACTTGATGGCACTTAACCACAACAACACAATAAAACTGTACTAGGAGTCTTGGTGTGGTGCTGTAAGATAAGCACTCGACCTCAAGGCTGGTTTGAACTAATAAGAGTGAAAGTTCAAACTTTCCAGTCGTTCTTTGGATACTCTATACAGAGTCCTGTTGTGGCATTGTGGGCTAATGCATCAGATTGCAAAGTCGTTTGAACTGCAAGATTGGGGGTTCAAGGTCACCAGCTACTCCTTGGAAACCCTATAAATGGTCGCTATGGGTCAGAAGTGACTCGACAGCACTTAACAACAACAACATACAGGGTTAGCTATGAGTCGGAACCAACTCGACAACACTTAACAACAACTAATGTTGTTGCTAAGTGCTGTAGAGTTGGTTTTGACTCATAGCAACACTGTATAGTTACTAAGGTGCAGCTGGTGGGTTAGAACAACTAACCTTGTGGTTACCAGTCTAGTGCTTATCCTACAGTACCACACCAGGAATCTGCCCTGCCTCCATTAATTTTTTTTTACTTTAAAAAAAAAAAAAATGTTTATTGTGAATTATGTGATAGTTTACATAGGAGAACATTAGCTTTACATTCATCCTATCATGTATTGTTTCATTGCCATGGTTACAATCCCCTCCATGCATCATCAACCAACCAAAGGATATACCCTGCAAGCCTACCCCCACCCCGGCCATCAGCACACAGCCCTCTCCCACTCTGGGTTTAGAGTCCCCAGCTGCTCCATCTTTCCACATCATTGTCTCTGCCTCCATCTCTGGCATCACTGCTTCTCTGGGTAGGGTCACGCACTCCGCTCCTCTCCCTTGATGGCTCCAGGGACCTCCACTCCTGGACTGCAAAGTCAGTCACTCCCCTCCTTTTGCTACAAAATGTCCACCTTTACATTTCCAACCCTCACAATCAGCTCTGATAACAATTATTCACCATTGTACCACAAGGGACCTATCCCCATCTCCTTTCATTAGCCCCGCCTAGACAGATTGGATATTACTCAGTGGAGATACTATCTTCCTCCGCACCCTCTGAATCTAGGCTCCCTCTTGAAAGCTTGTAAGCCAGTCACTGCTTGCCTTTGTAGCTCCCACCACCACCACCACCACCATTTTGGGTAGCCAATGTCCAAGTTGCCCATCCCTGTCTATTCTGTGTATGGAGGGGGTGGGAATGATCCTTGCAGTAAAGATTTATTCCCTCTTTTGAGCTACTGCATCCATAGGTGTAGGTCAAGTTCATCAAATTGTATCAGATTATTCTTTTTTTCCTCTTCTTTCTTCTCCTAGTTGAGCTCTGATCATCCAGTCATTGAAACCACGTCAAGTGGGTATTATCTGCAAGTGTGGGTGTTCTTGTACATATGTCCTCACTTCTTTACAGCTGGACGCTTCACTCTCTACTCTAGTCCTCTGTGGCTATGTCACGACTTTGGGCCCAGGAGTCTCCTGGTCTTGCCACACTGCTGGCCAACCAGGTCTCCACCCAGGTTCACAGGAGTCTATTGAATGTTGTAGACCTTAGCTCGCAGCTTCATTTTTGGTTTTCCCTCACTTCCCCTTATCAGTGACGAATGTGGTCACCAATCAGAGTGCATGTCTGCTCGTGTATTCCCACTGAGTCTTAGCCTTTGAAGGGGGCTCCATTAATTTTTAAATTTTAATTTGTCATAGACTAGAAAATGAAAACCAAACACATGAGAATTATGTATAAAATATGAGTAAATGGGCATCAAATAGGAACTCTGGTGGTGCTGTGGGATGAGTTGGGCTGATAACCTCAATATTGCCAGTTCAAACTCACCAGAAACTCTATGGGAGAAAGGTGAGGCTGTCTGCTCCTGTAAAGACTTACTACAGTCTCAGAAACCCTAAATAGGGTCATTATGAGTTGGAACTGACTCAATGGCAGTGAGTTTACTTTTTCATGCTGCATATCACATATGAATAAGTGCATTGGTATACACTGCTATCACCATGGCCTGACTGAGAGAACAGGCTCTAGTGCTGGGGTATCCATGCTCTGTGTATTAGATATTGCTAAAATTGATTATTTTATGCTTGTTTGTGAATGATGTTTGGATAACTGAAAGTGCCATCTTGTGAACTCTGTATAAAACAGTTATTACTGTATTTAGTTTTTCATTTACTGCTAAAGAATGTCTTTGATTAATTATATACTACAAAGATTGACTCATTTTTCTTTTTATTCTCTTAACAGTCTAACATAGCTATTAGTATCTAGTGTTCAATTTATTTTGTTTACCTGATTAATGCTTATTTTACTAATGTTGATAAATCAAGGCTTTAAAAGAATAAAGCAATTCAATTATTTTCTTCCACTTCCATAAAGCTTTATAGAATTTATAGTATAGAATTACACTTCTGGTAATGGGAAAGAATAATTATAATGAAATTGCCAAATTTGAGGATTACATAGCTATGAAAACACTCAGTTTTCAGGGTACATATGAAAAACATTAGCAAAAATTTTGATGGGCTTGTCATATGTAAAAGACATTAGAAAATTCTATTTCCATCCATTGGGTAAAACAGAAACCAAAGGGAATACTTACTGGAAAAGTGCACTACTGAGCTATATGTGATCTATAGGTAAAGCCAACAGTGAGGCGAGCCAGTCCAGGCACATCTCATCACCCAGTGCTGTGGCTCTGTTCTCTTTCTGTGTGGAATTTCTTGGCTTGGTCGTTGTTGGGTTTGTAGTTCCTCTGTTTTCCCTCATGACCACTCTTACTTATGACCCTTCAGATTGCAGTTTGACCAAGAGCTACTCAGAGGGTGCTACACGCCCAGAGGCAGTTAATAATAGGTACAAGTTTGAAAACTCCATAGCTCTGAGTGCTAACAGAGAGCCAGATCAGTTTGCAAGAAAGCTACTTTGATATATTGTTGTTGTTAAGTGCTATACAGTTGATTCTGACTCATAGTGACCCTGTATAGGGTTTCTGAGGAGTAGCTGGGGGGTTTGAACTGCCGACCTTGTGGATCGCAGTCCCAGTGCAGATTCTACAGCACATCAGGAGTTCTGATTTGATATATGCATATTAAATATATATAACGTATATACTACATATAATATAGTTTTCACATACCATCTAAATCACATAATGTTCTATTTCACAGAAGGTATAATGGTGTGGTGCTGTAGGATCAGCACTGGACTGCAAACCACAAAGTTGGCGGTTCACACCCACCAGCCATTCCTTAGAAACTGTATACAGGGTTGCTATGAGTCAGAACTGACTCGATGGCATTTAACAAAATCACAACAGAATCTAAGGGATTCATACCGTACTTACATAATTGGTGTTCTTATATATATCTATCAACTCCATGAACTTACTCATGTAATTCCCCACCCTCTACAAATGGAACAGCTTCCTATTTCATGCTAATGAATCCTTCTTTCAACATGTAACTTATGTCTAATCTAATAGAAACCACCTCTTATTCCACACTATTTTCTGTTACCATATGTTGCTTACATATATAATACCAGAGAATAATTGCAAAGTAATACATAATATCATATATTTGTATTGTGTGTTGTAATGAGAACATTGGAAACTTCTATTACATTTAAAAATATCTACCTATGTAATAATAAGTAACTATACTGCATTCTCAGTACTTATTGTTTTGGAAACTTAAGAGAATAAACAAGAAATAGAGATATTTAGCACCTTCTTTTCTTCTCACAAATTATTTTACTAAGCTACCATTACTGCTTCCTGTCTTTTAGCCTTTTAATCCTAATTCAGCTTTGGTCATGCTATTCTGCTCTTTAAACTTTATGAGACTACTTACTATTTGAAATGAAAGCCAAAATCAGTTGCCTCAGGTACAATGGAGTCCTGGTGTGGTGCTGTAGGATAATGCACTGAACTACAAAGTCAGCTGTTCAAACTCACCAGCCACTCCTCGGCAAACCTATACAGAGTCACTGTAAATTGAAACTGAATCCAGAGCACTTAACAACAATAATAGGATACAATAGCCTCCATAGTTCAGTTCTAATAAATGAAGATACACTCCAGGTTTTCTCTCTTATCTCCTTCCATACCACATCCATGTGGGTTCTTAACTTTCATGCATTCACTTTGTTGTTTAAGTCTGGAATTTACTTCCATTTCTATCCAAATCTTTTCTATCCTTAAGAGCCTAGCGTAAGTCCCACCTCATTAATTTTTATTCAACCACTCAAATCTACACTGCTCTCTGCTCTTTTCAACATTTATTATCTGATTAAATTGTCTTTTGTTCTTCCTTCTCAAATTGAATATGGCTAACAGAGGAGATGAGTTTCATATAGCATACAGTGCAATTCCTGTGACTTGTAGTTGAATATGAAAATAACCCCTTATCTTGGGAATATTGGTCACTGAACAAAATACAAAATCATATCTTGAAATATCTGAATTAGATACCTCTGGGTAGATGTCCTTTCAGATTTCAGTTGATCTGGATCATACCACTCATGAAGCCAACAGAAACAATTTTTAAAAAGTTGTATTAAAAATCTTTTTTGGTATCTCAGCTGAATGCATAGAGACTTTCTGATTATCTTCCTTTCAAAACTTCCATACGACTGTAGTCTACGCCAATAAATTAATAACTATGATCAAAATTTACTGCTCTGCTTTAGTCTTCTCTAAGTCCTTTACCCAGAGGTTAAGGGTTTACAAGGAATAGTACTTCTTTGCCCAGATGTTAAGAATTTGTAAGGAAAGAGTGCTTCTTTCTATGACTAGAACCAGTAATCACTAACTGTAAATCGTTAACCTCTGGATAAAGAAATTAGGAGAATAAAGGAGAGCAGTGCATTGTACTAAGGACACCTGGTGTGATGCAGTAGGATCAGCACTGAACTGTGAACCACAAAGTTGGCAAAGTACTAGCTGTTCCTTGGAAACCCTATATAGGGTTGCTATGAGTTCGAACCAATTCGATGGCACTTAACAACAACAATTGCACTAAACTCCCAAACTTATTTTATATTATCCTATCATTTCATTCTTATATGTCTGCAGATATTTAGAGTAAAATTCTTCAACTTTATTACTACAAGAACAAACAAGTTGCTTGCCTAGGAAACATTAAAGCAAATAGCCGGGTCCCCTCAGTGCAAACCCCCTTCCAAGACTAAGACTCAATGGGAATACACGCTCTGATTGGTGACCACGCTCGTCACCCATAAGGGGAAGTGAGGGAAAAACAGCAATGAAGCAGCGAGCTAAGCCCTACAATGTTCAATAGACTTCTGTGAATC